TTTCGGGCAAATATATTTTCTGACTTCTAATAGGTAATCCTAAGCCGTAAAACGAGGACAACAATATTTTGTTAGTTATTGCTAACGTTTAATTAAACATCATTTTGAAAATAAGATTAAAATCAAAGCGACTCTATAGTTTCTTTGTTCTAAATATTTCAATCGCTTGTGGTTCGAACAATTGAAAATGACCAAGAAGTTTATATATAAGCTTCTTAAAATTGACACAATGGGTCTCTTTCAAAGGCAGTTAGCTATTTGATTATTTTGTGTGCTTTTGTAATTTATATTTACGATTCATTTATATATAAATTAAAAACTATAAAACTGTACAAAATAACATTTTTAAATGAGAACTATGATAACACAATATATTTGTTTAGTGTAAATATGATACAAAACATGGTACTGCATGATTGGCAACCGCGCTGACAGACGAACAAACGAAGACTGTTGCGCGATTGACGCTCTGTATGTGATTTTAACGCCCTATAGATGCGGACACTTTTAAGCGCGAACCCGATGTCCATTTATTGGTAGATCAATGCTTCCTTCATAAGAAAAATAATAGAAATTAATTTAAAAACGCACAAACAGAACACAGACATTACAAATACAAAATTGAAAAAAAAAGTTATTACTGCCAAATATTTGTTTTATTTTTTAAACTCAAAGTTTGTCTCAAAACTTATGAACATATGAAGAATATTTTTGCATGGGATTTTCTGCGCCCTTGCCTGTTTGATTGGATGCCTGGTATAGAAGCGCGATATGTGGTTCCTTGCGGCCAAATGTAATCCAACTTTAGGTCATGTTCCGCGAAAGTAACCAAATCCATTTGGTAGTTCTTGAACAAATGGTTGATTTTTTTCATAAAATCCTTATTTTTAAGTGGTGCTTTGCATGTCAGGTGTTGTGTAATAATATATGGGTTGAACGATTTGTTATACTCATTGACCTACCAGCAGCAAGACACAGGTTATATACTGTATCATGGATTTAGTGGTACCTATGTACTGTATTTTGAAAAATTGAAACTTGCTTCAAATTTACAATTTTCGCATCAAATAAATTGTTTACTGATAAGTAGTAACGTGTTACCCCACAAACAATTGATATATTAATACCAAAATATATATCGTCTACATTTTACAAACATAAATTAAACGATTTAAAACCTCCAAGACATAAAATAATAAAATTTTAAATCAGGTGATATAAATCCATTAGTCACTATGGCTACAATAATCTCAGTGCTCAGTACTAAAAAACCGATCAAAAGTCATTCGTCCCCAAGTTTGCCATAGTGGAATATTTTCTTCAAATTTAATGGGACCACATCCGAGGTACCCTCTATAAACAAAAAAGGATCATCAAAATAGGTTCACAAATGCACGTGACATACATAAAAAAAGAATACTTTAATTGAGAACTCCTCATTTTTTGAAGTCGGTTAAAAAACTTTAGGCACTTTTCTCAAAACTATGATCGTCTTGGTACTCCTCAGATTACAAAACATGGGCAGATGGAGCATACGAAACAAACGATGTGAAGCCGCTTTTAATTTATTGTGTGCGTGACAACTAGGAGGGGTACTGTAGGCACATGCGCATTTGTGTACGTGTAGGATTGCCAGATGCAGCGAAAAAACTCCCGCATTTTTTCTGTCGTTTTCTATAATACTAATGTTACAGAGTGGAAATGTCATTTTACTTGCAATATGGGACTTAAGTGGTATTAGCATATCAAACAAATCATATGCAATATAAGTTAATATGTAATTGTTATTATTTGATTTACATCACATAAAAGAAAAAAAAATATTAAGATAATCTAAAATTTAAAACCTTTGATAATTCAAAATATTTATTACAGTCACAATTACACAACATCTTAATAACCCTTATTTTGTACACGTTTTTGTAATACTACAGTTTCGCGTCTATACATCGAGCATTCGTTTCTGCTTTTGATATGTAGTGCAATCGCACCATCAATTACTATTCTATTTTTTTGTTTAGTAAATTAATTTTGTAATCAACTCGTAGTGTTCCTAGCATTGACAATAATCTTCTAATTAGACAAAAATTGTTTGGTTCTAAATGAAACTCTTTAGAACCTGTGAAGTTGTGTAATACATTACAGTATTTTCTTATTTTATTGACACGTTTTCTTTCAAAATCATTCCTGTTTATGGCATGTGTGCACAACAATGAAATTTCTCTGTATCTATAGGGCTACATTTTCTTTTGTGTACATAATGGCTATTAGACATTGGTTTGAAAATAATTTAGGTAAATCTGACTTACCTAAAACACAATTTTGGAGTGCTGTAAATGGACCAGCCTGTATGCCTGTATATGCATGCATTGTTTATTTTTTATACAAAAGTATAAATTAATCGATGTTATAACCCATGCATGTTTACCTAATTTTAAGAAAACCTATTTCGATATAAACTGGCAAACACATACCGAATTTATGTCAAGGTTTTGTGTTCTGAGTGAATCTCAAAAATATTGGGTAAATAAATTACAAAACAGTTAAATAATCAATATTTCCCTGTGAAAAGATATTTCATCTTATTTTTTTGTTTTTGGGATCAACTTTTACAATGTTTAAAGAGACAAAATGGCATTTTTAAACATAAAATAACTAATCACTTGTGATGGGCAAACAATGCGACGTTGTGCTTAGTACTGACGTGAGTTTGTATTCGCTTTTGAATTTGTGTTTGTTTTGGTGGTTTCTGTCGTGTTCGGCGCGCTCCATCTGTCTATGTTTTGTAATCTGAGGTTGACACGTTATTGTTTATCAGCATCCAACTTTTCATATATTCGCATTGGCTTTCAATTTTATTTTGTTCAATGTTTAAATATGTATACAAGAGATATTTTGTCGAAATAAAAAAAAATACGAAAACACTGTTTTTGTTAATGTGAAAGGGAAATAAATGTAATTTTGTAATAAAAGCAGATTTGCATTAAATAATTGTTTATTTATTTTTTGATATTAATACCTGCGCAAAGAAAATTAAAGCTCATACCGTAAGTCATATATAACTTATTTACGAAACAGATACACATACATTTATGTAAAACTTGAAAATTGAAATACCCAGTTATACTTGACACTGGCATGCGCATAAGGGAAAACACCAATTAGACACTGATTATACGACATCATAATATTCATATGATAGAACAATAATAATGATTACTTAATATTCCATGTTACACTTATTTCTTGCACCTAGATTTGCAATAAATACCAGGGCGTCATTGCATTTTTAAGTAAATACGAATATTTGGCAAAAACCTGAAACACCGGACCTATAAAACAAGCATATCAAAAGTTCTATTCACACACCTTACATAGTCCCAATTCAAAGTCCACCACACTTACACTCTTTTAACACTGGTTATTCTGATCAATCTGAATATTCTGATCTTCGAGTTTTGGAGTGTATGGAGGGGGTGTCAACTTTCTTGTAGGTCCAGTTATCAAGTGAAACCTATGCTAGTGTGATCGAGACGAGTTATCTGCTATGTAATACGTTTCTCCGAACCATTCTGTGTTCTCATCCAAATACCTGAAAAAGTGAGAAAGTTTACAGCCACCCATACACTACAGTTAAAAGATGTCATTTGTGTAGTTACTTACTGAACAAACATGTCAATGTGCTTTAAGAGCATCTTGAGTTTGTAATCGGGCATCTGCGTAGCGTTGAGGAAATCTGGCAGCTTGACGAACAGCCTGGCTAGATGGATCGCGCCGTACACGCGACAAGGTAGGTGGTCTGTACCATTTCGTGGGATTATCTGCCATTTGGCCACCTGATATAAATTCATACATATATCAAGAAGCTTATAATTCCACATACATACATTTATGTCTTACATTGTTTAACGTGTTAATCCGTGATGCCAGCGAATTATTGATTTCAAACCTTTTCCAGTAAGAGAGATAGAGGTGTTCGCGTTGTAGTGGGCGCAGCCGTCGCCGCCTGTGTCGGCCGAGCCCAACCCTCGCTTAGCGAAGATCCGCTGCTGCCCACACTGGAAAGTATATTACCCTTTCAATTGTTTTCGAATACTCGATTTCGAAAAACAGATTCGGGTGTTTGGTTCGATTCGCCAATTCGTACGATGACGAATTGTGAAGAGGGAAATTATTGTGGAGTTGTTTTCATTTCCCCAGAGTTTGTACATGTCTGTGTTTACCTTGAGGAGACAGTCTCAAAAGTGCGCGGTTCACCAGTAGATGTGGATGGTGTAGGTTCTTCGTTTTCAGATTGCGATACAGCAGATTTGTGAGATCGAAGCCTGGATGATAAACATGGTAAATAATTTATTGTATTTTTGTTTGCTTATAACGCGACGATCGACGGTGCGCTGACTGATACGTTCATGCATGTCGTTAGGTAACTACATTACCGCCTAGCCACGTTTCCAATGCGCAGGGCTGAACGTCCTTCTCGCATCTTGCCAGCCGCGGCTGGTGCGCTGAGAGTCTCGTCGCCGGCGGGAACTTCGGGCTTGCTCGGGGGCGCCTCAATCTTGACTGCAGCAAGGGCGAGGATAGTTGCCTTATCGACGGGCTCTTGCTTGATCTTCACTTCCTCGTGACTGCTTTGAATAGTGCTCGTTGGTTTCTTATGGTGGCCGAATGCTGCAAGATCACTCTGTCCTGTTGCTACCATACGCAGAACATCAAGAGTAACAAATACACATAAAGAACACAAAAAAGAAGCGAAAACAGATGCAAAATAATAATAATAATAATAATGGAGTGAGCTATGAATAATATCTCTTTTAACTTTTATCACCTTCCAATAAATTCTTAAAAGGGTCCAGAGGGGCTGGTGGCAAGTGTGAGTATTCCGCAATTGGACTCTTCATAATGTCATCAGTTGCAGCCACCGCCTTATCGTGATCTAGCTTCATGAATAATTCATGATCTTCTGGATTCATGATATCTTGGCTACAAAAATACAAATGTAAGGGCGATTTAAAAAAAATACTTTCTTGTAAGTTTACCTTGTGTGTGAAATAGCTTACGCGTCTAAGAATTTTCCGCAAATTTCGTGGTACTGCTCATGTTCTTGTTTGTACAGAAGGTGTCCGCGAAGGATGAAATCGAAGTATACACGAAGGCCATCTGCTACTTCTCGCACTAAGTTCAGTCTTCGGCGGCATTTGGAAATGTGTTATTTTAAGAAAAAAAAAAAAAGGGAAAGTAATAACACAATTTGTGTTACAATACATCAGTCAATGTTAGTAATACCAAAATCTTTTTATAATTAAAAATGATACGCACCTACAGGAAACGTCAAGCATGTCAGGCTTTTGCGGTGGATCGTGGCGGCTGCGAGCGGGGTGCCAGGCGCCGGCGCGCGCGTACCATTTCACAAACGACTCAAGGATCTCGGCTGCGCACGGAGATGCCGGCAGTCGCGACAGCCGCCCCCGCTTCACCACTAAGTGGTAGTCGAAAGTTAAGCGATCCCTGGGAAACAGCAAGGAAATAATTAGTATTTTCTCATTACTGCTACCACTTTATGGGATTTCAGTCCATGGTTGAGGAGTTGTATAGTTATGTGACAGCCGCAGCAGCAGCAGAATCACTGACCCATACAATCTTTATTTATCAAATGAATCAACCCATCAATATAATATCTATAAATGCGTTTTTAAGTAAAATTTTTAATAATAAGTATTTCATATTTATGGACAGAATAATAAATATGAAATAATTATTATTCGGTCAATGTAATACTAGTGATGTTACGAATAATTATTTGGCCGACTATTCGATATTCACGTTCTCAGCAGAAGCGCCAAATATACGGGTGAGTTTGCGAGTAGATCGTGTCGCGATACGCATTTTTTGTTTATAATAACATCACATTGTGATTTACTAATAGCAATTTTTACTCAAAAATATAAATTTGCCACAAAATGATTCCACTTTACTAAAAGTTTCACAAAACGGTACCTTTTAATAAAAAAAAAAACCTATTTAACATTTTTGAATAATATGTTAGTTTATTTCTCACGATTCGGCATTCAATATTCGGTCGAAAAGTCCGAATACTGAATATTAAAAAAAAAAGACCGTTACTTGCTTTTTTAAAACTTACCGTAGTGGCGACGGAAGCGTAATATGAGCACGGCCAACATTAGACGGCGGAGGAGTTGCCGGTTGTGAGCCGGAACCATCTCCGGATGAGTCGGTATCAACTGTCTCGCCCTCTGTCCTCAACAAAAACAGTTATCTTTAAAGTTTAGCATCCGTTTTCTCAAGTTAGCGTATTTCTATATAATATTTGAAAGTGCACATTACCCTCGCCCTCTGGTTGAGTACTCGAAGAACTGCCGTCATCACTAAAACCGAGGCGAGGGCGCTTGGCGGTACCGGTGCCGGTACCGGTTCCGGTTCCGGTTCCGCTTCCGGTGCCGGTGCCGCTGCCGCCACCGGTACTGCTACTGCTTCCGTTTCCTTTCTTGCGCTCGCGCCGATACAAATAGGCCCCTCTATTTTATTTGAAAAATTATTTGCGTACAATAAGACAGGGACAAAAAGGAACAACTATATTTTACTAGTCAGTGCACTAGCATTTGTTTTCTCATGAAATCCCTGTTTTGGGGTGCACATTATAAATTCAGAATTGAATTCAATGGCAAGCATTATGGAAAAATACAAAACTAGGCAATGGTGCTGGACGAGCACACAATCAGTATAGCAAGTCATAGCCATTAATGCCTTTGGAATCCTCCACTCCGAATTATACAAGCCGTTGGTAGTCATAACAGGTCCACGTTTTTGAGTACAATATCTATGAACATAATTAGACACAAGTAAATTATAATTGTTTCCTTTTTTAACAGTTTGGTTTCCAAACTCTAATAACCAAAGTTGAATATGAAAAAGCCTTCCTTTCTGTCTATAGATGCTTACAGTTGTAGCTGAGACTTTTCGGCCAGGTCGCGCTGAAGCTGTCGATTCTCCTCCGTGTCTTTGAGGACAAAATCTTCGCTGACACAGCGATCCCATGACGAGTTCCACCCTTGGAAGTGGATCAGGTACTCAATGGTGCGACGGCCACGCCTGTCCTTGCTTTCTATGACTTCCAATACCTAAGATTACGATTATTAATCTTTAAATTCTGTTGAAACCAAATCTGCGAATTGATAATATAACCTATTATTGATAAGTAGGAAAGCTTTTTATAAGGTATCCATACACAGTTCCTCGCATTGCAACATACAAATGCAATCACTGTAGGAGAACAATGAAAATGGCTATCGTAAAATATACAACATAAACTTATGATGAATTAAACTTTTCAGATAATTTGTTTTTAAAGATAGGCAGCCATCATCAGATAAACGAAATACGAAATATTGAATAATGCTATTTCTATCTGATCCAAGCCTAGGAGTAATTTAAGTTTAACTAATGAATGAATGAATAGATGAAAATATTGTTAACTTATTTCATTGCCAGACAATTCCACAACATTACTAGGGCGGCAAGTTAAATAATTTTTAATGATCTCAGTTGTGTGTCTATCACAGACATATATCAAAATAGACACCGCAGTGCACCGCGTGCCCAATATAAGCTATAAACGCTTAGTTGTTGCTGCTACGCTTCAGAACGCGCCTGACCGTTATCGTAGTTAAACATCAGTCGAAATCGCAAAGAATGCCTAATTGTACCACTAGGAACAGTTTCTTTCCACAGTTAAGTAATTTTGTAATCAGACTATGCTTAATTCATTTTAAAATCAATTATTTTCATTTTGAATGAATTTCAAGAAAACAAATTTGCAAAAGAGTGTATGCCGCTGTATAATTCGTAATACATTGCGGCTTTTACTTGGTGCGGTACACTTGTGGTCCTTGTTTAGTAGGCATAAATATCGAACGAGCGATACTATCATATACTTGATTCAGTTTCGTGATACGGCCACTTCATCAAGTTTTTGGTCAAATTTTACGATTAGTGATGCAACACAGTTTTCGATTCTGATCGATTTAGGAAACAAAGACATGATAAGTCTCAAGACCTTAGATAATGTAATAAAAATATTCTATAATGTTGTTTTCTTTTTTTTTAGTTTTCCGCAGCAACTTTTTTCATAACACATATTCATTATCTTATTCTTGTAGGCTGGATTTTGTACATTTGGCATTCTGCTAAAAGTTAAGAGTAATGGCTTGTCAGTGTACAGCCGTTGAGTTACTATTCAACTGCTATTGCAATTTCTTGGTAATCTGCTGTTCAATAGAGAGATGAAGATATGTTCACATCTTAAATAGTGTACTAATTATTTGACATAAAAAAATGACATTTAATTTGATGACTAAATTGTTGCTTAAACAAGAAAACAATAAAGACATGCATAGTAATTTTCATTGTTGTTTTAGTATGTCAACATTGATTGTAATTGAATGAACACCATCTTCGCCATTCCACTGCCACTATTGAGGCTCAACTGTCATTGCAACTAGATTTTAGCAGAATAACAAATATTGTCATAATTGCAATATAATCTCAGTGGAGCCCAATGGAATTACAATGACCATAGTTTCAAAAAGTTAGCAGAATTGAGGCCCTCATTTCAAACTAGGAAATAACATAATATCAAATGATTTGTGAATATCAGAAAGGGTTCTTGAAAATGTAGACATATTTATCTGATCAAAAGTTTACCTTTGTTTATGTGAGGTTGAGCAACCTCAATTAGAATAAAATTTGACTGTTTCAATAAAACTTGAATGACCACTAAACAATATCAAAAAAATTTCACTGGCATTGTGCTTACAAAAATAATTACTTGGACCACATTAATAAATATCCTGACAAAAATATCTCATTTTAGTCTGCAATTATTTAAGATTATGCATCATGCTGAAGGGACTGAAATCATCTTGCTCTTAATATTATAATAAAAATCCATATTGAAATACATTGTTCTACAAAAGTAGTCAATATATTGGACAAAGAGTTATTAATGTTACATATATGATGATATTGAAGTGACCATATACATGCACGCATGTATCGTACCATACCTTGGAATCGTACAGGACTTTAGCTTTGGTGGGATCTGGTTCATAGCAGAGAACGCGCTCGCCCTCGCTGAATTTATAGCGCAACCCCCGTGTCGATACCATTATCGGCGTCTTGAACGATGATCAATGCCGGCCGCAGTACCTCTACGGTACACTCTTCTGCCGTACCCTTCACAAAGACAAATCGATATCGCATTTGCTAAATAACTATAACTGACATGATATATCCAGTATAGGGTTTTGCGCTTAAAACTATCTCTGCTCGAAACAATCAAATTGGTTTCTTACAGGCCAAAACATATGCGCTTGACTCTTGTAAATGTAAGTACTTAAAAAATAAATCGGCTTGACCGTCTCTAAACCTTTGAATGTGGTCAATTTAATTTTCAACAGAGTGGATGCTAAGGATCGTTTCAGTGGACGCTCGTAATGCGTAAGAAGAGAATTTAATAAAATAATGCTTACTTACCACCAATATGTCTTGTCTCCTGGAGAATTGCGGATAGAAAATAAATGTAGGAACTAATAGATCAGTAAATATTAGGACTTCTCGGTCGCATTATCGGACCGCATCGATCGAACCGACACAAAACCCCACAGACTAAACCCACACAGAACCACAAAGCCACAGACCATAGACTAAGAAGATAGATAGATACTTGCTGCTACAAACTTGACAGAGTTTTTTTCTGAACTCTGACTTTTGTTGGCTGTTGGCTTAGAGGCTGTTGGGTGAATTTTCGAGAAATTATTTGAATATTAAACAAAAAATATTTGAATATGCGAATTCAAATTTAAAATTCCCGAAAAATTGGAAAAATATCGTCTGCTTAAAGGTGCCAAATTATGTACCAGTTGTAAAAAAATTACCATCTTTCTGCACATAAAACTCTTAGGGTAGTATTCCAGAACTCTACTCAGTGCTCAAGTCAGAACTTGAGTATGATTTGAAGCGTTGGAAATCATACTCAATTCCTTGCCATTAGGGTCGTATTTCCAGTGCTTGAAATCATACTCAAGTCCCTGACTTGAGCATTGAGCGACCCTTAATCTTAAGTTTATAGCTTTTTTGTTATTGAGATTCACGTGCAGAAAGATAGTGACTTTCTTACCATAGCTATATAAATTAAAGTTTTTTGTGGAAAATGTCACTTATGTGGTTTTACTTTTAAACAGACTATATAATTTCGAAGGCTCAATTATGAGATTGTCACGGATCTCTGAAACATATTTTTCGCACTCTTGACAGCCTCTTTAGGTGATGATAATCGTTGACCGCGTAACTGGTTCCTAATTTTTGAAAATAAATAAAAGTCACAAGGTGCCAGGTCGGGACTGTACCCGGAATGGCTCATAAGGTCAACGTTGTTAACCTTCAAAAATTCATTTCTCTGTCTGGCCGTGTGAGAAGTGGCATTATCGTGGTGCAAGATGATACGGCGTTTACGGTTATTTTTACGGAGTTTGTCAATAACTTCCGGCAAACAAATGGTCGTGTGCCAATCACTATTCATGGTACAACGATTCTCCAAAGCAACAGTAGCCACGTGTCCAGTTTTATTAAAAAAAGAAGCAATCATCCGCTTAGAGGCACTTTGCACGCGCGTCACTTTGGTTGGTTTCGGCTCATCTCGAAAGACCCATACGCTCGATTGCTGCTTTTTTTTGGGATCGTAACTATAAATCCATGTTTCGTAACCTGTTACAATGCCCCGTACCAAATTTGACGTCCCTTCATTGAATCTGGTGAGCATGGCATTGCACATAAGTGACGCGATCAGTTTTTTGAGCCTCATTCAAATTGTGTGGGATCCACCGAGAGCACAGCTTTGTTTGTGTAGTGTTGATTGTATTTGACTTATGCCTATGCCTAAAGATGCCCAAATCTCATGGTATGTCACATATCTGTCTGTTTTGATCATACGGCGCACAGCAGCGATGTTTTTATTGTTTACAGCAGTGGACGGGCGACCATCACGAAATTCGTCAGTGAGGTTCACAAGATCGCGTTTAAATTCTGCAAACCAGCTATAAATAGGCGTCCTAATTAATCGCCAAAAGCAGTTTGAAACCGAGCGAAGCTCCGCTGAGCTGTTAAATTACACTTAAAGTCGTAGAAAATCATACTACGAAAATTTTCAGGAGTTAAATCCGTGGTGATGTAGACACCAATTTCTAAAATGACGCCTGATGGCGCCACAACGTAAAAACAAGTGACAGATGAAACAAACTACATTCTACAGCCAAAGAGTTCCATTTTCAAATGTAATACTTTTTAAATATTGTTTATGTAAGTGGCCTGTTCCGGAAACTTATAGTGCGTTCTATGTACGTATAATGAAATAGAACCAAAATTTAAATAAATTTTTATACTCGTGTAATAATAAAGTGATTTTTTTAAAATTTCTTGTTATTCCATCTATTATCATAATTGTAAGTTATCTGGTATATGGTCAGAACTGTTGCTGCACCACATTCAGAGACCAAACAAGAAATCTGAGAAATCTTATCCAATTCACAAAACCCACTAATCTAACGTTAGTTCTAGTTAATGTTCAGTCACTAGTAACGTTAACGATTAATATTATTACAAATCGGTGTAGAACTATTTCTAGGATTGGGTTTTTGGTGGGGTGGAGCACTACCCTGTGCAATGAACGTTATAATTTACATTTGCAATTACAAGTGACAAATTACAATTCTTCAATTTTACACAGGGTTATTTGTAAAATATTAACAGCCTCACAGGACCCGTATATTACTAACATCTACTTTTCATTTCAGTTCCATGACTTTTTACAAAATATAATAAATTTACCAAAGATAAACCGTTAAGTTTTTGTTAAATTGATACTTTTTAGTCTAGTACGTTCACACGCTCGCGGGCTTCTGGATTTTGTATTTCGTATATATTTACGCACAGAGTTATTATTTTCGTACGGAGGAGTCTCCGTACGAAAATAATAACTCTGTGCGTAAAAAGTACCTACAACCTGATGAATTATTAAAAGTCAGGGAATAAAAGTTGTTGTATAGGACGTTAGTAATATAGTCCTGCGATTTTACAAATGACCCTGCGTATTTATTGTCCTATTGTGTGGAAGATATTTCATGGAAAGGCTATGAATTGTGAAAAAAGAGTCCAATGAGAGTGCATAGATATCTAATATTAGGGGTTAAAGTATGAAATTACGCAATAGGTTCTTTGAATTTTCATAGAATCTTCATGGTTTGAGGTTTTCGAATGAAACTTTTTTCAAATGGTTTCTGTGATTTTTTTTTTTTAATTTGAAACATTTGAATATCGACTTTCAATTGTTTTTGTTATTCAATTTAGACAAGAAAGATGGGTACTGCGAAAATTCGAGTGATTTTTGAATACGAGTTCCGATGCGGAACTAACGCGGCAGAAACAGCCCGCAATATCAATGCTGCGTTTGGAGAGGGGTCTACTAATGAACGCACCGTGCGATTTTGGTTTAAACGCTTTCGTGATGGAAATTTCGACTTAAAGAACGAGCCACGAGGAAGACTGCCCACACAGGTGAATAACGATGAATTAAGAGAGATAGTGGAAGCCGATCCTAGTCAAACTACCCAGGAATTAGCGGCATGGTTTAACGTTACCTTACTTACAATATTGACTCACTTGCGTCAAATCAATAAAATAAAAAAATACGAAAAATGGGTGCCTCATGATTTGACTGATCTGCAGAAAGAAACGCGTGTTGAAACTTGTGTTGCCTTGGTGAACCGGTACAGAAATGAAGGAATATTGGATCGAATTGTAACATGTGATGAAAAGTGGATTCTTTATGATAACCGGAAAAGAAAAATGCAATGGCTGACCCCAGGTCAAATGCCACAACAGTGTCCTAAAGCAAAACTTACCAATAAAAAGGTAATGGTAACTGTTTGGTGGTCTCAGCATGGTGTTATTCACTATAGTTTTCTCCGATCTGGTCAAGCAATAACGGCAGATGTCTATTGTGCCGAACTCCGAACCATGTTGACAAAACTAGCTGTAAAACAGCTCCGACTCATGAATCGATCTTCACCATTATTGCTCCAAGACAACGCGAGACCTCACACAGCACGAGAAACCGTTTTGACCCTTCAGGAACTGCAGTTAGAAACCATTCGTCATCCTCCGTATTCACCAGACCTTGCTCCAACGGACTACCATTTTTTTCGTGATTTGGACAATTATCTACGTGGCAAGAAGTTTTCTTCCCAGGAGGCAGTACAAAATGCTTTCACACAGTTTGTGCAGTCTAGATCGTCGGAGTTCTATCGCAAAGGCATTAATAACCTTCCCATTAGATGGCAGCAATGTATAGATAATAATGGCAACTATTTTGATTAAATAAATTTGTTAAAAATTTAAAAAATAAACAATTTAGATTTTCAGTACAAATCGGCAATTTCATACTTTAACCCCTATTATATATTATAGATTGACAATGAGGGTAATTTTCAGGTTAGTTTTTTCCATCTAATTTCGGTGGTAATTTTTAACATTTTAATTAATCTATTAATATTATCATGAATCATTATTTAATGTTGAAGTGTAGTATCTTGAATTATTATTTAATATTTCACTACGTACTCGAATACTTAAATAATAAAAATTGCCACCGATATTAGTTAGAGAAAACTAGCCTGAAAATTACCCGTGAACATTTGATAGAATTGTAATTTTCGTATATTATTGCTCCGATAATGATACTTCTGAGAAGACCTCTGACTATGAAATGGAAGATATTAAAAATATTAGTCTAAATATTGCCCAGCTATGCTACCATTATATCTACTTCAGAAACTTTTTCAGAAAAAAGGAACTCATGAAATATAATATGCTTGAATGTTTGTAAAACGTAAAATTAATTTCAAGAGTTATTGTACACACGTCCACAAAAGTTTCTGAAGTATTACACTCCATTGCCAGGCACGGGTCTCCTCCAAAGATAGGGTTAAGGGCGTGTTGTGTAGAGTTAAAAGATAAACAGTTTTTTCTTTCAGTGGCATTGCAACTCATATGTAAATTGTTCATATCCATGTTTAAGTTGATCCTTAGTTTAAGTTGTTTAGGTTGAACCTTATTTTCCACCTTTCCGAATTTTTCAAAAGTTTATTTCTCTTATTTGACTTTTTATTATTGGGTTTTATACTCATATTAGAGAGAGATTGGTTAATTTTTAATGTATGTACCTAATAAATTTTTAAGAATAATATAATTATTTGTTGTGTCATAATTCTAAGGGTCGTATTTTAGAACTCTACTCAATGCTCAAGTCAGGATTTGAGTATGATTTAAAGCATTCGAAATCATACTCAAGTCCCTGCCATTAGGGTCGTATTTCCAGTGCAATCCTGACTTGAGCATTGAGTAGAGTTCTAGAATACGACCCTTACAGTGGTTACAATATCTCTATATTACATACTTCTAACGTTAATTTTTTTGACTTTGACCAAGAAGCTTTTTTACATTGACTAATAAAATTGCATAGGTCCTCGTCATAATTGTAAATATGTCAGTCGCCCCTCTCATGTAAGTTATCCAGTTAAATAATATAATATTTATAAATTCATGTTACATGCTTGTGCTGTCTTTCGCTTTAAATTCTCATCTGAGTATTTCCGCGGATTAACCCATCACCACCGGTTAGTGTCGCAATATTATAGCTAAGTGTTTTTTGCGGCCGTGACGTTGGCAGAATCATTATTTCCAGCAATAATGGCGCTATACAATTTTTTAAAATAGAATAGTTTAAATATCTAGGTCATTACATTCGGCAATAGCGTTCTAGAAAATTCTGGTTCGTCGAATTTTCCCGATATTCAATGATACACTGAATGATCACTACATCTCTAACAAATTTGACAGAATATCTTCTTTACAGGAAAAGCCGTTAATGTGTGAACTTTTGCAGTTCACACATTAATGGCTTAGTAAGCAAAACTACTGTCGAATATTTGAGGAATCAAATTGACCATGAACTTGGAAATTAAAACGACCGCAAATCGCAAACCGCCCATATCACTACAATGAGTTGATTCTTACTTAGCTTTGTTGTCTCGTTACGCCTACCTAAGCGTAAGTTACTAATTCATTCTGTCCGGTAAAGTAAATAATGACCATGATTCTTTACATAATCACATATTAAGAATATTGAAACCATAACCAAGTGTTATTTTAAAATGTTAAGTATGTTGATGTTTAAAACTGAAACAAATTTTAAAGGATAGAATTTAATTAAATTAGCATATCCTAATTACAATTTAATCCTATATTCTAAACAAGTTGACTAACATGATTAGACATATTCAAATAATACGTTCGTAATCGCGATGAGGGCACAGATTAATTACTACGATTTGGCTTCCACTTAGTGTTGATACACGGGAGCAGAATACGCAAGAGGCGCGGCAAACTTAGCAACAGGGGCAGCAGCATACGCGACAGGGGCTGAGTGCACGACGGGAGCAGCGATCTTCGCAACGGGAGCAGCGGCGTAAGCGACGGGGGCGGCTACCTTGACACCGAGGGGTTCGCGGTGCACGACGGCGTTGAAGCCGTTGTGAGGGTCGGCGGTATAGTCCACGGTGCGCTTGGTGCCGTCAGGGTCCACCACAGAGTAGGAGCCCTTCACGACATCACCGTCGCGCGTCTCGTGCTGTGTCTTGGAGTCGCCAGTTAGACCGTCCTGCACGTCGTATGCAAAACTGTATTGAGGGTGGGTGTTGTAAGCCTCGACAGCGACGGCCTTGGCGACAGGGGCGGCGTAAGCGACTGGCGCGGCATATTTAGCGATCGGGGCGGCGGCATACGCCACTGGAGCGGCTTGGTATGCCACTGGAGCGGCTTGGTACGCCACTGGGGCAGCCTGGTAAGCCACTGGTGCAGCTTGGTAAGCCACTGGAGCGGATTGGTAGGCCACGGGAGCAGCTGGGACCACGCCAGCTCTGGCGCAGGCCGCGATACAGGCAAGAACCACAATCTGAGAACCAATTAAACACAATATTACTTTTTTTTAAATCACACGGTTCACTTATCACTAACGGCACTAAATTATGTCGCACCTTGAACGCCATTGTGCGGTACGTTGATCGAGTATGTTGAATGATGCTTGATGAAGAGTGCTTTTGGCTTATATACCTGCAAACGGCGGGGGCGCACCCTTTCACTCTTCAAAGCTGCGCTGACGTCACATGACCGTGGATTCGCGCCCTGAGGCGCTCTTTTATTCACAGCTCCTTAATACACAGCCCTACAAAATATGTTGCAGTGGCAACGGAGCCAGGTATCGCTCGATAAGTGATTGTAGTTTTGATAGGTCGATGGCAGACAGCTACGGTACCTGTTGTGGAGCATCTTTCACTAAAAATGACTAGGAAATTTCACAGTAGTCTCACATTTATTCAGTGATTTACTCAAAATGATATAAATATTTACATCTTCACAATATTAAAACATTTCTTTAAGACCTCTAACTAACAAAAAATGGAGCGAAGCTTTATAATTTCCATTGAACAAAGAAAGAGCAGCTTTCTATGTGCGACTAGTATCTAAAAGTTAGATACAAAAAGCTCTATGTTGTGTCATTAATCATTATACATAATTCGATAATATCCAATCGCAAAGTTCTGTTTGTTACTATAATAAGCAGTGTTTAACAAAAATTAACGGACTTGCAAGTTGCAACATTGTCGTTTTTAATTTTGACATTTATAAGTTTAGTAAAATCAATCAATAATCAATGCGGAAATGGCAGAAAAGACTAAAGTAGGTAGTATTTGAGAAAGTTGTCTCACATGGAACGTTTGTGGGACATTTCAGTGTGAAGTTAAAGTTTTCGAGTGATATATTATGGCAGCGTCTTTTAGTACTGTAGCCTAGGCTCTACTGTATGAGTAGAAGTACTGGCTGAGTGAATATAAATTTGTATTTAGAATGTGTTTAAAAATAGGATAGGAAAAGAAGAACGTCTTAGTAGACATTGACTTATGTTAGCAGATCTGGAAGTAGCCTCCATAAGTGAATATGTGAAAAATACAGTAAATACCTAGTTATGAAGATAATCCTAGTTTATATTTATAAAGTAGGTACCTCTCGCTACGCAACCTAAGCTACGTCCCTAGGCTACAGTACCTATCGGGGACTAAGATTACCTTATTGACCGATCCGGCCAATCGAGATTTAAACTTAATTGCATAGATTAGAATAAGGTAGTCTGAGATGTTAATTAGGAGCCACTGTAATCACGCGTTGCCAAATTGTTTAATTAAATTGTTTCACACTGTTAACTGAACTGACTGCTAGGAAGTATAAATTAAAGTCGTAATTCGAAATTGCATTAGTCTACCACATAGGAAAACGTAGACTAGACATTAATCGTCTATTTACTTGTAATTAGTAAGTAATGCTGCGATTTAAACCCGAAAGACATGATTTTTTTCGATTAAAACCCAGGGAGAATCACACTTTTACACTTTAGGCAATGGGCTAAGAAAAGTTGAACATTTGCATTTCGCTAAATTTAGACACAATACACCATTAATTTGGATTAAATTGATGGTCACAAATACACGCACGGAGCAGACGACGCTCTTTGTATTACGCCGTGCTGTCTTATTCCTATACTAATTGAATTGTTCGTGAATGCTGCTAGTATGGGATTTTATTGCTAGTTTATAATATTTAATAAAAACCAGCCAAGTTGTAAGTATTAAATATAATAAAGAAAAATTTCTCCTCTTGATTTGAATTTTGCATTTAGATCGTAATTATTTTAATGGATTAGCTATCAAATTTACTACGTTGAATTGCTATCTACTAATTATTTTTTATATTGTCATTCAAATTACCTAAATATTATATTATTTAAATATAAAATAGTATTATCTAAAGTACTACCTAATAAACTTTCTATGACTTAAAAGCCATTAAAAATAATGTAATTTTTCGACAGTTGCTTATATTTTAAACCTAATTCAAGATTCCATCTTAACCTAAAGTTTTCATAATAAGTTTCTATAAATAAGAATGTGTCAATTAGTAAGTTATCAGTTTTTGTAAGGTCTTGTCTATCTTTTTACTGAATAAAGTTTATTTGTTTAGATTGCCAAAAACTGCACGTAGGACCTTAAGTAACTCGAAAGAGAACTTACAACATACATCAGAATGAATTGTGTTCGTTTAGGTAAATGCAATAACAACTCATAAATTTTTTATTGAATGTAGGGTTACACGCTTAAGTATTTTTTATTGTTGTTTCGTTTCAAGCTTTACAAAGCAAAAGGAGCGCAAAACTACAGAGCCATAGTCAGATACAAAAATTGAAGTTGAAGGAGAAAGGAAAAGAGGAACGTCTGCGGGAGGGAAAAAAATTTCGAGAGGTTTATTCATAACTCACCTTAGTTCCTTCGAAAATCTATCAAGGATTTTTGTACAGATTTTTTTTGCACTCATTTCCTGATTCTCGTTTTTCCGGTATTCCGTTTGACTAAAATAACGAATTTAAAATTTTATTTTTGTTGAAAATGTGGATATTCCTAATACATTTATTGTTTTTATGTTTTGTTTTATCTCGGATAAAAGTGAATACCTCTAATACACTTTTTGTTTTATCTCTAAATAAAAGATAAATGAAGTTTATTACAATGTATGCATGACATACAAGCAAGGAAACATGCAGGTTCCTCTCGCTGACGTGAAAGCCTTTGTTTGGTTTAATTAAACTGTGGTATTTCTGGTCGTTTGGCCCTTTTTCGCTCTGTCAAGTAACTAAGTGTCGTATTCTAGAACTCTATTCAATGCTCAAGTCAGGATTGCACTGGCAACACAAGTACTGGAATTACGACCCTAATGGCAGGGACTTGAGTATGATTACGAGTGCTTTGAATCATACTCAAGTCCTGACATTGAGTAGAGTTCTAGAATACGACTCTAAGAGTTTGTTTGTTTGAGGTACACTTTTAAGTAACAAATATAACTCTGCCGAAACAGATAATTATTCTGCCATCTAAACTACATGGAAAGTAGAGTACGATTTAAATATAAATTGACCAAACTAATTTCTGCCAAAATAATACATATGCAGTGGCGGATTTGCAGTCTTGGCCGCCCTAGGCCCCAGGCCTTGTAGTCAGTACCAGCATCTGTTCAGTAGTTTTTGAGTTTATCGCGATCAGACAGACAGACGTAGTGATTATTGATTACATTATAGACATGTAACATATCTATATTAAATAGATAAAATGTATGAAAGTGATTTAGGAAGATCATTGTTATACGATGCGGTGCAGTGCGGCCCGCCATATTGTGCGTGAGCATTAAGAATATTTAGGTACTTTGAGTTATTTCTTGTTTCATCAGTGAATTTTTTGTCACGATTGGCCGCCCCTAAAATTTGGCCCGGGCCTTAGGGCAAATCCGCCACTGGACATATGTGAAATAGTTTTATCTGTCAAACAAATCTTCTGCTATAAAATGTTTCGGTGTTACAAATTTAAGCTGAAACAGTCATTGCACTAATGAAAAAAGTCGAATTGAGTTGGAATAATGAGATTTGGAACAAAGTTATTCATATTTGGGATAGGTGACGCCACGAGAGGCGAGTATGTCTATTTTTGCGAAAAGATATTGGCATACTGCTATGTGCCTAGATGAACGGTTCGATTTGACTAGTTTTAATAATACATGACTTCAGTGCACGCACGCGATTGTTATTAGGATATTGAATAAGACGATAAACGTCATATTTAGAATCCTTGTAAAAAAGCCGTGTGAAACGATCACAGCTAGGATTCTTCAAATAACGATAACGGTGTTAGTTCTCATGCCACACACGTTCGGTCACTTTTGTGGACGGCTGCGCCCGCGCCCGATACCGCCGGCGCGGCGGCGGCGTGTACGCTGAGACCATGGCCAATGAGACCTCAAATTATTAATCGTCGGAAACAAGCGCTACTATTAAGACGCTTCACCTAAATCAAAGTTTTATAAATTAATGCCGTGGAAATGTTTGCGTGTTGGTTAAAAGCCAAATCTCCATCAATATTATAATGGAAATGAAGTGCACCCAACTTCACATTCAATTACTATAGTCCTCCAAAAGTAACAAATACTAAAGACTAAAATTATAACAAAAAGCTGAAATGTAACAATTAATTAGGTAGTTTTAAATATTCATACGATATAAAGGCTATTCGACTATTTCGGACCATTCTGAATTTAAATTTGTATTGTTGGTCCAACCAACAATTCAACTTGTATAATGTGTAGGTACTAAATGTATGGTCCATATTATTATTGTTATTGGTCATCTTCATCATACGTACGCTTTTGATAACCATCGCACTGGATAAACTGGAGTAGAACCTTCCTTAAATATCTGTTCTACTGAATATTTTTTTAAATTTTATTTGGTACAACAACAGCTTATTATTATATTACATTAAAATGATATTAAAAAGGAAGAAAGCCAATACCGCTATCGTCTCGAGAGCGAGATGTATATGAATTACCGTGAGCTGTGCACAAACTAGTACCTACATATATACACATACGTATATACATACATATATATTAAGTATAACATTAAGATTCTCCTATCAATAGATAAAATGATTATGATAACATTTTGTTTAATAATTTTAATAAAGTTTAATAATTTGGAGTATATACTCTTTATTGTCATGATACATCATGAAACACAGTATTTATGGATATTTACAGTTTTAATAGATATCTTCCTTTAACTTATATAATCCATAGCTCGTATTTTTTAGACTTACTTCAAATCAATACAAAAAGATCCTATTTACTTCATCGGTGAAATAACAAAAATATTGGATTACATAGACAAATGCCGAAGGTTACTTTCTAAGAACAAAATTACACAAATAAGGGGACTATATCACATTTGTTGTGTCAATGTCCTAAATTCTCGATTCACGTGTCACGCCGCGATCTCATTCGTTGAAGACCATGGCAGCATGTCTTTGTGGGCTTTGTGAGGCAGTCACGTGCTGTGACGCAACGTTCGCAGCTCGACTTGCCAGAACGCTCCCACCTTATTAATCTTCGGTAGCAGAA